ATTCTGGTATGGTGCCCTCCGATACATAATTGTCAATGCAGAGAACGTCTGGGCGAGAGCGCAATCATCCATAGCGCTATAGAGGCATACTTCCTGACATAGACTACCAAAAAAAGGTCCTCAAGCTGCTTCTGGACTCGGATACCCGATGACAACTTGAAGGAAACTCTGAACGTTAAACTATGATTCGAAACGAACATAGGCCAAATATAGCCAGAGTACGTCCCAACCACGACGACGATTAGTTGGGAGTGTAAAAGTGCAGCTTTATTTACAGGATGCAATACGCCGACAGAAAACTAGGGGATGGGAGCACCATGGGAGGTACTAGGTGCCGGAGCTTCTTTTGCATGCTCCTCCTTTTCACGCATGTAGGTCTGATGCTGCATTGACACCAGTCTGATTAAGTCATCCGATTTCACGGGGTACTGAATGCTCTCCATTATCACTGAAAGGGAAAAGGATATACTGGCCTTACCTGCTAAGGATCAGGCAGATCAGGGGAAGAGAGACTCACGCCGGCCAACAGAGAGATGATTGGGCTCGGTCTTGTCAGTACGCACACGCAGCACCTTCCAACCTTGAATGGTGGGGTCCACATAGCACTCCACGATCTTTCCGTTGAGGTCCTGGTCCCTCGAGGTCACACGCGCCAGATGTGCGCTTGGCACCGAAGAGCCGCTCAAATACAACTCCCCTACATATCGACTCACCTCGCTGAATGCCAAAAGCACAAATAACAGCCACTTAAATTCCTCGTTCTTTTTATTTTCTGCGCTTTCACAGAGAAAATTACCGTGACTACTATATACGGCTATGCATTCACTATTATTTGGGTGTAGAAAAGATATATTCTGTGAAAATAGAATCAGAAACGGATCCGGAATCCCACAATGAGCGTCAAGTTAGCACAAAAATGTAAAAATTTGTTTGAGAGAAACTTGATTCTTTTACCAAGTGGTCTGCATTCTATATTGCCTTATTAGTAGCGAGTATGCACTTGTTTTATTACATATGGCAACCAACCCAAGTTCAGTGCAAACGCAACAAGCATCCTGAATTTGGCGGTGGTAAAGTTTTACGCATTACACAGAGTGCACCAAAATAAAGGTAGCCAGGAAAGGCCTTTCGATATTGTTTGACTGAAGAACAAATAGGGCGAGATACTGCCCGATACTATGAACTTGGCGGAAGATGCTTCCACTTCTAGGAGCCTAGCCTCCGCGTTGCGGGATCTTGGACACAACCCAAATAGATGGCCAAAGGGCACCCAAATTGTAACGAAGAGCAAAAGAGAGATCGAGGCAGTAAAGGAACGAATAACTCACTTGCGCATAGTTCAATTTACGAACACCCACGGACATGAACATTAATAATTAGAAAACCCATGTGTCAGAGAGCTAGAAATTTTCGAGGAATGAGAACGAAAATTTCGCATCAATATCAAATCTCCAAAGGCTCCACAAAAAGGAACGAAACGCACCCAAGCGCAGTGTGGAAGCGGATGCGGCAGCGAAAGTCAATGGTATTCAATTCCGGTGGCTTCCACTTCAGCGTCTCATTGCAGGTGCCTAACACATAGACATCCTGTGGTCCCGCCGGCTGGAAGATTAGTCCATCAGTCTCATGTTGTAATGCTTCTCGGTTAGGATTAATAAGCTGTAGAGGAAAAACAGGATTAAGCAATGGGGCTACGTTAATCCAGACCGCCGACGTAGCTAGTCAGTGAATTTGATTGTGCAGACCGATGAGTTGTGATTTAAGTAAAAAACTTGCATGTTCCAAGATTAACATGGAAAAGTAGCATTGCGTGTTCTTATTCTCATTCAAAACCGCAATTTAGCCCTGTCTAGCCTTTATACGTTGATACTTTGAGCTACTTGCACACCGCATGCATCAGTTTCGCGAGTCAATTCGAATAGAGTAACTTTAAAGTGAGACTGGGATTTTTGATATTGTTAGTTTCTATTAAACTCCACCTTGAAAACGATGGCAACGAACGTGACTAAACAGCAGGTCTGCAAATCGATTAACCGCGAAAGAATTCCGACTTGAATTTTGCAAGGATAACCGAATCACCAGAGAATTTATTTGAAGATCGAATTTCACCTCAATCGCCTTGCGTTATTAAGACCCAAAATATG